AAGATTCAAACAGTGATTCTCAACACTGGCTGTTTGTTAGGCTTACCTGGGGAAACATTAAAAAATCTGACACCCAGATATCATTGGGGGGCTCTGAATATTGGTCTTTTTTAAAAGGTCCCCAAGGTTATTCTCACATACAGTCAGGACTGCACATTACTGGACTAGAGGACCAGAAATCTACCAGGAGCTTACAGAGATCATTTAGGCCTGACCTGGTGAGCCCCACAAAATTATAGAATTTTAGAACTGCCATGAATGTCATAGATCTTCTAGTGTCCAGCCCTCTTCTCCAGCACCCCAGTATAAGATTTTCTAAAGGTCTATTGAATTAGGGAGGTTTTCAGTTTTATTTTCAAGGAAGATCCAAACTGTAGTCCAACTATAGTCCTAAATTACAATTATTTCTAAATTACGTTGGAATGTTAAATATGTAAAAACGTTTTTGTTTATTATTCATATTACTGTTTAGAGGATTGGCATTTGGGTTATTTGAGTTAAAATTTAATTTCAGGTAATACGAAACATCCAACTTGTTCATTGCAATATGACAAGTAATTCCAAAAGGAATTTAGAGGGGATCAAAATATAAGGAAAAATATGCTTTGTAGAATTCATATTATTAATAAATGTATTTTTACGTATTAATGATGTGGCTAAAAATTTTTGGGTGCTTTTGCTACTCTTATTTCAGTTTAGCTTTTATTACCTTTTTTTTCTTCCAGTAGAGGGCACTCTGATTCAGTAATTTAAAATACAAAATCAGCCATCTTATGTAAAGGCTTATTTTTAAAGCAGAGATTTTTGGTTTTATTAAAATATTACCCTTAAGGTGGTGGTTTGAACAATTTTGCTAATAGAAGTGAAGTAAAAATTAAATTCTTACTTTGATTGAATGTATTAAATTGGAAGTTTTGCATATAATGTGAAGACCAGCCCAAGTTAAAATTACATCTTGTCTTGCATAAATTTTAATTCAAAAGCCAATCTGTTTTAAATGCTTTTATAATATGCACATGGAGCCATTTCCTAAATTGAATTAGGATATTATATAATCTACAGTGTAAATTTTGCAGAAATATTATAAATATCTTCACATTGTACCAACTCAAGACATTTAGATTTTTGAAAGGATATAAAATATCCTCTTCTATTCTTTTCATTTGTTTTCCGAAGTCATATACATTCATTTTCCCCATGTACGTGAACAATGTGTGCAACTCTTAAACATCACACCATAGAGAAATTTGATCATATAAAGATCATTTCAGAATCTAGGTATCAGGAAAGCATTCTTTCAAAGATTTTAAATAGAAAAAGCATTGTCACCTCATCGGCCTTTGTCTCCAAGGAATAAATAAGAGGCTCCAGGGATGAAATGCATTATGCCTATTTTTTCTCTTCTGAGGGAGAACCTAGACACAAAAAGCATCTGAGGTTTATTGTTTGAAAGGGATTGTGTTGGCAAGTTTTGTGCAATTTTGCTCTGCCAGCACATCTCTTTGCTGTTATTTTACTTCTTCTACAACACAATATCTTTAATTATATGTCAGCTTTCTGAAGTATGAGATATTTTATTACTGGATTTTGAGATTTCAAGATTCAGCTTCTTTTATACCAAGCCTCTATAAACTGCTTGGGGATACTCCAGGGGTCTTTGCTTTAGGAAAAGAGACTTAATTTAGTGCCACAATTCATCAAATCTTAAGGGTCAGTAGAGTCAAACAAATTAGGTTGCCTAAAAACCAAATGGTGTTTCTGAAACAAAGTTTACTTTCAGGTATATTCTAACCCAGTTAATTGGAGCTTAATATCAGGAATGCATCAGTTTCAGAATTGTAAGAGATTTTTGTTACCATCTCATCCAATTCCCGTCAGACGCAGAAGCACTCCGAGAAGGAACTTTTCTGGAACATAGAAGGTTTTTCTTACCAGGCTAAAATTAATTT